AAAAACACCAAATTGGCGTCGATAGCGCTTGGCGGGGATGAGGAAGATGGGCGCCTAATTGACTTCCTAAGCCACTCTCATGCGTGAAGGCCCGGCCGTAAACGCCTAGAGCTAGGTGGACGGTGGGCGGCGACGCGGTGCTCGCCGGGCTATGTCGTGGACAAAGCGCGACGAAGCGGGTTAAAAGGAGTGGCACGGCTCGGTTAGCAAAGCAAAGACGCACACATGCTCACAGGAGACAGGACCTATAAGATTGGCGTGACACATTTGAACTGAGGTGACCGGACATGAGCGGGGCTCACCCATGGCGGCTAGCAAGTCAAAGCAAAGTGCGACAGGGAAACATCCCATTGCTTCTGCGGTCGGCCACCATTGTGACACGTGGCGCGGGCTCCAAGGCACTGACGATGCTTGAGTAGGTAGAAACGGGGGAGCGAAGCGCCACGTCGACCAACGGCGGTCGCCAAGGCATTGGTTCAGCCTCAAGCGTGGCGCAATAGCATGGCGGCGGTTGCAACGGTACGGACAGGGAGGGACAGCTCTGGGGCGACATGGTAGCAGCGACAACGTCGGCCAGCAAAGACCGGCCGCAGGCTGGCCAACGCTGGAGTGCAAAATAGCTGTAGCCGGCCCTTGCACGGCACAGCCGACGCACAGTGTGGCCGAACATAGCGGCACCAGGGCAAGGGCGCGGTGACCGTGGCCACAGGGCCGAACGGCCAAACTAATGCCACAGGGCCACGGGCCGAACGGCCAAACGGCCACAGGGCTCATAACACCAGAGGTGTTACACCTGGTGAGTTTAAAAGTTTAAATTTTGAGTTGGAAGTGGTTAAACAATGGTATATATTATTTAAGTTTGTAATGTTTCTGCTTTTGCTCTAGCACATAATTGTTTATGCAAATTTTTTAATGCCTGAGCTGGGACATCCCATGTTAAGAGCATCTCTAGCAACACCACCTACTTAACTCCCTGCTTCCAATTTGGGTAATGGGGGTCAAAAAACCAGCTCTAGCAGACCCCCTACTACACCCTAGATTTGTTGGCCTTTTATTTTCTCCTCCCACTACCCATTCCTATTGGCCGCCTACTCCACTACCCAAAATTTCCCCCTTCTTCCTTCTTCGTGCACGAGCATGCAAGCCCCACGCCGGCGCTTCGTGGGCGGACGCGGCGGCCCTACCCCAACGCCGACGCTTCCTGGCCAGTGCGAAGGTCTTTCCCGATGCCGGCGGCCATGCCCGACGCGGTGGCCCTGCCTCGGTGCGGCCTGCTCAACGCCGGTGGCCCTGCCTGGCGCGGAGTCCACCGGCGGCCTTCCTCCCGCTCGGCACCGCCTTCTTCCTTGCCGACATGGCCCCTGTCCGGCACGGAGTTCGTCGGCGGCCTTTGCTCCGTCTGATACGGCAGCGCGACTCTGCATCTGGGCGCGTGCTGGCCTCCCTCCCGACGCCAGTGCCTGCGGCTAGATGCTGGCCTCCCTCCCCCGTGCCCGTGGCTGGATGCCGGCCTCCCTCCGCACGCCGGTGGCCCGCGGCTGGAGCACCTATACCGGTGTCGGAGCTAGCCGAGAAGACACCATGAGGGAGAGGATGACAAGCAGGACCCACATGTCATTCCGTGCTAGGATGAGTTTAGGTAGCTTGTTTTAGGTAGTGTTGCTGGAGCAAACAACAAAAAATAAGTAGTATTGAAATAGGCGGCTACCCAAATCGATAAGTATGGGGTCTGATTTAGTTAATATTGCTGGAGATGCTCTAAATACTACACGTGTGAATAATGGTATAAGTTGTAAAAAGCGGATGATTGGGATCCCTAAAGACACCTAATGGGCTACCGGGATTACCAGTCTAAAGTTGGAAGAACAATGCGAGGTGCACCTGAATTGCTATAATTTGGACGGTTCTACTAGACATGCTGGTCTGCACAATTATCTAACCACAACTTCGTCTGTTCCGTTGCCCATTATCTTGGAGGCTCGCGCGAAGCGTGCGCAAAATAAATATCTCCTCGGGACACTAAGGTCAAAGGATAACCAACACGCCAAATGGAAAATACACGCTCTGTCTTAAATATTTGTCGTTGTTGGTTTGCTTTGCCGTAAGTTTAACTAGATTTATATAAAAAATAGTAATATTTGTATATTCAAATAAACTTATTATAAAATAGATTCATCGATCTTTACTGATATTAATTATATATATCATAAATATTAATATTTTTTTTGAAAAACAAGAACTACAGTTAATAAGAGATGGAGAGAATACAAGAGTACTAGTACCTACATGATTGTGAAAGGATAACCAACATTTCAGTCTGTATAAATATATGAGTACTAGTACTACCTACATGATTTTGTTCTTATTTTGCATCCGATAACAAGTCTGTATATATTTATATGTGTGTCATCTCCTGGAGATGTCGTCGAGACGCAGTTGGCTGCAAACTTGTCCCATCCCCTGGCAAAAAATGGACATCAGGATCCTTGTGGCCTTCGTCTTCCTCGCCATCCTTCTCAAGCTCATCCGGAGCTACGTCACATCATCGCGCACGAAGCCACAGCCACCATCAGCGCTTCGGCTGCCACCAGGTCCATGGCAGCTGCCGCTCATTGGAAGCCTGCACCACCTCCTCCTGTCGCGCTTCAGCGACCTGCCTCACCGGGCGCTGCGCGAGATGTCCGGCACCTACGGGTCCCTCATGATGCTCCGTTTCGGCTCCGTGCCCACGCTGGTGGTCTCCTCAGCCGAGGCTGCCAGGGAGGTGCTGAGGACCCACGACCTCGCCTTCTGCAACCGCCACCTGGGCGTCACCCTCGAGACCATCAGCTGCGGCGGCAAGGACATCGTCTGCTCCCCCTACAACGCCCACTGGCGTGAGCTCCGCAAGCTGTGCGTGCTCGAGATCTTCAGCCAGCGGCGCGTGCTCTCGTTCCGGCCCGTCCGGGAAGCCGAGGTGGCGCGCCTCCTCCGCTCCATCTCCGACGAGAGCGGCGGTGGCCAGCAGCCCGTCAACCTCACCGAAGGGATCTGCCGCATGATAAACGACGTCGCCGCGCGCACGGTCGTCGGCAACCGGTGTGAGTACCGGGATGAATACATACACGAGCTGGATGAAGTGGTGCGGCTGGCCGGTGGGTTCAACCTGGCGGACCTGTACCCGTCCTCGCGGCTGGTACGCAGGTTCAGCGCCGCCGCGAAGGACGCGAGGAGGTGCCAGAGGAACATGTACCGCATCATCCAGAGCATCATCCAGGAGCGTGAAGCCATGCCGACGCCAGAGCGAGACGAGGACCTCCTCGGCGTCCTCCTGAGGCTGCAGAGAGAAGGTGGCCTGCAGTTTGCTCTCACCAACGAGATAGTCAGCACCGTCATTTTCGTAAGATCTGCTTAAAACTCCATTGCCTATGATACTTTGTTATTTAATGTTTTATTTGTTCTAATTTAGCGTCAGGCAAATGAAATTTTACACTAAACATTAGTAGGTCATGTTGTGCTATTATTTTAATTTATTTTCTACCACAATATTATAGATATACTTTATCTTTATACGGTTGTGAAGACAATTGTTTTTCCTATCCGTATTCATTCCCTGTGCGGGGCACATCCATCTGGCTTCATACATTTAGTTAAAACTATAGCTTAAATCTCGGTGTCTCTTATTGCAAACCATGGCCCTGTTCGTTTGAACTTATCAGCCGTACCGTTTCAGCAAAATAATAGTATTTTTCTCTCATAATAAATTAGCATCAGCATCAGCCGTTTTTCCAGCCAGCCGAACAGAGCCCATATGACGAGACATCGTAGATCTACGTGTTGAGTTGTTGACTTTAAATTTTGATTTTGTTAGTTGCTATATCTTTTAATCCTCGATCAAATTAAGTCAAATATCTTGTGCTTACCTTTTCGTTAGAACTTTTTTTTTTGTAGTTTTATAAAAAAAATTAGGTCGTAATAAAATCCATTCTTACTCTCTTGATTCCAAGTTATAAGTCATTCTGGCTTGTATCTAGATATAATTTATATCTAGATGTATAGCAAAAATAATACCTATAAAAGATTGAACAACAGAACATGGGGAGTATTTACTAATATGTTGCACCGCGACACACAAAATTAAATCGACGATAGAGTTTGAGGTAAGATCTAGGAGGGGCTAACGAAGTAACGATGCTAACCTCAAGATGATATACAGTAACCATTGTTTACTATAAAATGATTTTGAATACCAGAGGTGTCATATCCACAAGACAACTTTGGTGTATCCAACCTCCTTCGTTCCTCGAAGATGTTATTTTTTTATTAACAAATTATATTACTAATTATTTTAAAGAAAATTATGACGCTTAATTACAATTATACTGTTAATTGAGGTATGTGCTTTAGTGAAAGTGTATGCACAACAGCACAACACGTATGTCTATTTTAAGTTAGTGTTTTATATATTAATATTAATAGAAATGGGTCACTTAGAAACATACATATAGATGTAATTTATTGGTGATTTAAACATTCCATATTAGCATACATTGATAAATTAGAAGTAAATTTAAGAAGATATTTTGGTTATTCTTAATAATGACAGAAGTAGTAACTTAGATGGTAATATAAGGGGTTACTTAGATTATCCATCATAATGACATGGTAGGTAATTTAGATGCAAAATTTGGGATTACTTTGGATGATGTTGCATTGTTGCCTGATAGCATAGGTGGGTAATTTATATTATATGCACATTTAGGGGTAACTTATGTGGTTTTCTCATAATGATATAAGTGGATATTGTTTAGAAAATACAATAGATTGAATAATTATCAACGTTGATTAGAATCTACCAAATTGATGGTTAAATTTAGTTTTTGTTAGAATATTAATATTTTTTAGCGTGCCCCGTGAGAATCAATGTGAACACCCTGTTTCCAATTTGTAATTGTAAGATTGTACTGCAGGATATTTTTTCTGCTGGGAGCGAAACGTCATCAACCGTTCTGGTATGGGCAATGTCGGAGCTTGTTAAGAATCCGCAAGTCATGCATAAGGCCCAGTCAGAGGTGAGGGAGGCCTTCGAAGGACAAGACAAGGTAACTGAAAGTGATTTGGTCAAGTTAAGATATCTACAGCTGGTGATCAAGGAGACTTTACGGCTACATGCTCCAGTACCACTCTTGCTCCCTCGAGAATGTCGCGAGTCATGTCAGGTTATGGGTTACGATGTGCCAAAGGGGACCAGGTTGTTTGTGAATGCTTGGGCAATAGCAAGGGACAAGAGATTGTGGCGTGATGGAGAGGAATTCAGGCCAGAAAGATTTGAAAGTAGCAATATCGATTTCAGGGGAAATGATTTCGAGTTCACACCATTCGGGGCAGGCAGGAGAATGTGCCCTGGCATCGCGCTTGGACTGGCCAACCTAGAGCTGGCGCTTGCTAGCCTTCTTTACCATTTTGACTGGGATATGCCCAATGGCGCCAGGTTGGAAGAACTTGATATGGCAGAGGCCTTTGGTATAACATTAAAAAAGAAGTCCATGCTCTGGCTTAAGGCCGAACCTTACAATAATTTTATACCAAATTAATTAGGTGATTGTGATGTGAACTATGTCCGTGTTGCTACTTAATTTATCCCGAGAAAGAGTGTGATTATAATTGTACTACCAATCTTTACTGCAGGACAATAAATATATGCAGAGTTTGTCCTATGCTTCTGTTATATTGTTTCATCGCTCTCTATTAAGTGTAGTTATTATCTTCTTATTTACTTTTTGTGAAATGATTAAATGATTATCTAATGAGAGTACAAGAATCAAATGAGACTGGTTTATGTCTGATCAGGCTGTATACTACTATTAATTTTCCTTTACTTAATAGAAATACGCTATAATTTTTTATTTGCAGAAATTGAAAATTTCTAATACCATAGACGCAGGGGAAGTGTTTGCTGCAGCTACCGGCCACATCAACTGTAGCTGCCGCTGCAAATATGATAGAAGAACCTTGTTGCAGCTACAACCACTACTACAAAATTCATTTTTAAAGGCATCTTTCTTTTTGGTAGAGCAGTTTTATCAAAACTGCATGTGACAATGGTTTTCGAGCCAACTCGCCTCTAGAAATCAGTTTCTAAAAGTGGCTCTAGCCATCTTTAGAAATGTCCACGATTTTAAAAGGCGGCAGACAAGCCGATGCACCTCTAAAAATGTCATTTTCCAAGATGGCTCGACTTCCTAACCATCTTTATTAGGGTATTCATAACTATACTGTTTGTTAGTGGTTTAGAAAACAACTTCTCTCGTTCACTCTCATTCGTATGCAAATTAATTCTTCATCTTGATACACATAAGCAAGCTCAATGGTTTAGAGTGAAGTTTTCAAAAAACCATGGTTTAGGAACCGTAGTGTTTTCAAAACCATAGTTTTTTAATCAAGAAAAAAGATGTTTAGAGTGAAGTTTTCAAAAACCATGGTTTAGAACCCGCTTGATTTTGAAGTCTACACCTCTTTTTTTCTAAACCATGAGTTTGCATTTTAGTGGGTTCTAAAACTATAATTTCTTAATACTACCACGTGCAAAACTAAGGCTTTAGTGTTGTGGCTAATCTATAAACTTTGGAAAAGTTTGCACTCTCTTGAGAGTAAATGTTGTGGTCACCTGACAGTAATTAACAATAATAATAATAATAATAATAATAATAATAATAATAGTAATAGTAATAGTAATAATAATAATAATAATAATATATAAAAGAGAATTGCTATATATCCGTTTGACAGATTTTGGGATTCTGAACTGCTAGATGTAAAACCAACCATCGGATTTCCTTCTCCAACCTCTCTTCCGTCTTCCCCCAGGAATCGTGCTCCCATCCGCCCCATCCGCCGCCGGCACCACCATGCTCCTTCTTCACCAAGTGGGAGGCGACAGATCCGTCTCCTAGCTCTTGCGGCACCGTGCAAGGAGCCGGCCGGCGAGGAGCGCGGCTCCGGTGGCCCCAGAAGTTCAAGGGGCGCGGGCTCCGGCGGTCCGACGTGTGGAAGGCGAGCGCGTCTCCGGGCTGAGGGCACCGAAGGCCGAGCGCACCGGAGGCCAGTAACCTGCAGCGGCGTGCGGAGCTCTTATCTCGGCACAATCCACCCCTCCCGACGGGATAGAATCCGTGGGATAAGAGGTCCGAATTTCCCTTTCCCCTAAGTTTGGTCGCAAATTCTTTCCATTGCTGTTTCTGGATGTTTCTGATTTAATTAATTTGATCAACCGTAGGAGCAATACCCTTTTGTTTGTCTGCTAAATTTGAGTACACAAGTACTTAAGCTGCTGGATTTGTAGTGGTAAACACGGTGGATTAGAAGTGTGGGGAGATGTACCGTGGGGGCCTTGACCGCTTCAAGAAGGCACAGACCTTGGAGCCCTTCTCAGTGAAGGAGTCAGGCACCAAGAACGCAGCTGCAGCTGCAGGAACAGCTAAAGCACCACCGGCTCTGCTCACACTGCCACAGAATTCTAATTTTGTGCCGGGTCAGAATCACCAAAGTCCGCAAGGCACCAGCTCAAGGGTGGCTGGGCAAGATGGTGTTGCTCCTGGCCATGTTGGGACACAGGTCGGTGGAGGGCAGTCGACGTGGCAACCTCCGGACTGGGCGATTGAGCCGCGCCCTGGTGTCTACTATCTTGATGTGGTGAAAGATGGGGAGGTCATTGACAGGATCAATCTGGACAACAGGAGGCATCTATTCGGGAGGCAGGTTCCTGCTTGTGACTTCGGGTTGGACCATCAGTCTGTGTCGCGTCAGCATGCTGCTGTTATTCCACACAGGAATGGAAGGTTAGGATCCTCATGTCTGATTGCGATTCTATTCTATGTTCTTATGTATCCTATGGTTAGTAAGGCACATTTGTTTAGACTTTATTTATTCCCTGAATGTCAAATTTTCTAGCATCTCACGATTAACTTCTTTTGTGAGTACCACCAGGCCAATAGATGTGCCTGCTTTTTATAGTTTGACGTGTTCATGCATCATACCACGTATGAAGATCGATCTTGTTATCAATTATCATAGGCAAAACCATTTTCAGTGGAGTACCACTGAATGCACACATGCAAAATGAAATGCATCTTAAGTAGTCAACTAGATCATTGCCTGTGTGTTGCAATGGGAGAAAAAAAAAATCAACATGAAAACATGCTGGTATGAGATCACCAAACACTATAACCCACCTAATGCGTTAGCAACATGCTATTTCTAGATACATTGAAATACAATAGCATCATCTTACATATTGATATCTAATCAAGCATAAATATAGAACACTAAAATACATAATTCTACTCAAAGGAAGCAAGTATTTTCAGCAGGGTCGAGGACCAACATTTTCTTTGTTAAGAGACATATGATGTATCACACCCCATACACAAACTTCTCTCAGGAGTTCAGGACAACAAGCAATGACAATATATATTCCAGTGTAGAAGCAACAGTATTGTGTAATTACAAGGAACTAAGGAATTGAACAACATTTACAGCCCTGACATACCCACATTGCCAAAAATCTAAATATGCTGGTTTTGTTTAATGCTCACTACTACTAATGGCAAAACTGGCTGTACTTACCACCCAGCCTCATGTGTTTATTGAGCTGATCAAATTCACATCAATTTGCATGTACACCTGCCTGCTTGCATTCTAACTTGCCAGTAATTATGCTGCATTGCTTCTTGTCTCCCCGCAAAATGTTATGGTAACCACAAGTATCGCCATCTGCTCAACCACCCTCATCTCTTCAGATAAGATGATAGAGCGAAATCCGCAAGTTTATCTATACATGCTTATTACCATTCGTCAATTTGGCAATTCCATTTCCTTGGAACTCTGAACTCAGCAAGGATAATTGACAAAGACACATCACCGAATCAAAGCACATCAGAGCAGCAGCATCCCATCTCCTCACTGAATTGTCCTTGTGAGTCTGGACTTGGAGATGAAGAGGGTGTCAGTGTAGTTGAGGTGGCACAGCTTGAGCAGCTCCCATGCTTTCTGCTTCAGCTCTGATGCACAACCACTTTGGATGACAAGTAGAAGCTTCATGGTTAACCCAGCCTCCACGGCAGCAGGTGCACACTCTTCAGGAGCCATCCGACATACCGTCCACAACATCGACAGCGCCTGTCGCATTCATGCCTCTGAAACTCTCATCAGCAAGTGGACAACATTGGGTATCGTCCGTGGACAATCCTTAAGAGCCATCCTCCCCTCTGGAACTGCAGACAGGGCATCCAAGATGTCCAAGGCCGGCTCGACACACTCCGTTGCTAACTCCGGCAATAATTCCACCAGCTGCGGTCCGCACCTACGCTAACAATCATACTCCTTGCTGGCCTGTGGACCGCACAGATCGAATTCAGAAGCTCAAGCCCCGCGACCACACAATCTGGATGCCGCTTGTCCTGGATGAGGCGCTTGACACCAACCAAGACTCTTGAGCTCGCGGCGCCGTGGGGGGCCACCTACATGGATCCGTCCTCCACCTCTGCAAACGCCGTGGCAGCCATGTCTGGGGCAGGAGGGGCGCCAACTGGGCAAGGCGGGGAGGGGTGGGGAGGTAATGGGGCAAAGGTGGGACGGTGTGGTTTTTCTTTCGTTTGTGGAAAAAAACACCAGGCATGGAGGGGCGGACGAGCTAGAGAGGCACGCCGAAGGGGTGTGTGGACGTAAGCGCTCTGCGCTTTTTAGGACTAGAGTAAAGATATCTTTGTTCTCTTGCTTTCAGTTATTTTATAGACACAGGCGTGTTTCCTTAGAACTTTTCTACCAAAGAAATGCATGTCATGATGGAAGATGGTTTCTATTGTCTTTCTTTACCATTGTGGCTTAGGTGTCTAATTATCTGCTACTCTATACTTGCATTTATGTCTCAGAAACATTGTTTTCCAGTTATTGTTGTTTTTTATATCACTTTATCAGTTTTTTTAACCAAAAACTCATTCCATGAATTTTTCAAAAAAATTCATTCCATAAAAATTAACTAACAAAGAGGATATTATGTTCTGTATTCTTAACTGTTATCTGTAAAGAACTCTTAGATGCTCATGACATTGGTTCTGTATCCAATGAAGTTTTAAGGCCATTTATTATCAATGTAAAATTAATTTACTTTAGGTTGGAATTTGGAATGAATTCCATAATTCCTGTGCTCCATTTGAATAACTTCTTCGTTGGTTTGTGCATTTGTAGACCCATAAGAAATACCATTTGAACTTTTTTTTGTCAGAAATCATCCCCTGAACTACTTTTTTGTTTTACTGTACATTACTGTATTAGGCTGCTAGGTTTACTACTAACTGCATGTCCTTGCTTTTCTATTTCAGCATCTATGTTATCGACTTGGGATCAGTTCATGGCACGTTTGTTGCGAATGAGAGATTAACAAAAGACAACCCTGTTGAACTTGAGGTTGGACAGTCACTTCGCTTTGCTGCATCAACCAGAACCTATATCCTGCGAAAGAACACAGCTCCTCTATTCCCAACTCCTAGCCTTCCATCAGATGTCAGTTTGCCATCTCCTCCAGATCCCAATGATG